CCCCCCCAACACAGACACACACTCGCTCACACACTCCCTGCAGAAACCAAAACTCGTCTCAACTTGAATAAAGTACATTCAGGCTTATAGCAAAAGCTTCCATAGCGGCGACACTTACTAATATATATACATACTACTGAACCCGAAGTGCACCCAATTCAAAATGACGTTGATATCAAGTCACTAGCTGGATCGATGTTCACCTCAAAGATTACCTCAAATACAACCGGGTCTTCTTTCCGTTCGGTTCATCAATCATACCTTTATTTTGGGCAATTCTAGATAAGTACAGTGATTGAAATTTATATTGACATTTGAGACTTGTGATTACAAATGATTCTGTGCACGGACTCAGAGAAAGCAGAGCAATCTTGCAAATGGCACAAGCAAATGTCCAAGGTTATAGGCGCAATGACGCAAAATGCCTTGGGTGATTTATCACACACACAGACCATTTACGATGGTCGAAACCACGTATTTGACCGAGTTTTACATGATTAATTCGGACGAAAAACAAAAGAAATGAGGTTGGTTTAGGTATAATATGAGTTTTACGGCACTTGAAATAAAAATAGATCATACAAGTGCCGAAGCTAAGAGGTGTTACAAGAGAGTAACAAACACAAAAAAGGAGGAGAGATCAGGACGATAGATGTTTGGTAAAAGAGATGGAGGAAACCACACCAGAGCACTCGCCAACCACCCACAAGGACTTTTTTAAGGGGGGGGGGGAGTTTTTATGGCGCTCGCAACTATATAAGGTCATATGAGCACGCGAATTCTAAGCGCAGGAATTTACCAAGATCAGAATCTCAGCCACTGATCCGTGTAAGGATTTCAACGTCGATTCCGGATCTACTTCATAGAGAAGATAATAATGTTATTGTTCTATGCCCCCATCGACTCAACTGAGTACGTTTAACAAGTGGATAGCCTCGAACCCATGCCTCCTGCATGTACAGGCAAAGAAAACGGCCATTACAGCACAGTCGTAAGTAGGAAGAAGACAAAAGTCTTATTACGGTTTTACTTTAGCAGAATAAACGCATACTGTTAACGTTCTCTGAACATTTCGTTGGCAGAGGTTTCCATCAACGAAAAATTAAAATAACGTACAAAACTCTAGTTTTACACATATTTCTAAAAACCGTTAAAAAAATAATTAATGAATAAATCCATAAATAAATAAATAAATAAATACACTGTTTGTGCAAATGGGAAGCATAATATAGACACGACATTCTCAGCACTTGGAAAAATCGAGATAGATTGGCAGACAAAAACGACAAAGGAAGAGAATGGAAAAAAAGGAGGACCTTCAAGTGGCGTCCTCTTACCACCATCCCAACTACAGACCCTTGACTATATGTTAGTATTCCAAAAAGAAAGCGCATACTCACAATGTCTGTCGTCTCTCCCACAGAGGGGAAAAAACCCCGGGAGATACAGAAATAAAGACAGATGAAAAGAATTCAAAAGGAAAAACAGATCGCACAGAAAAACACACGGCCTTCCAATCTCTTGGCATTGTTCCCAGGGTTGGACAAATTGCACCCCCCCCCCTCCCCACTTCCGTGATTGCGAGACGCTGGCACAGCAGGATCGGAGAGATTTATAGACATATCGTCTGCCCCGATCGGCGAGAGGAACTTCAAAGTTGGATCTGTGCTGGAATGGGGA